GGAGAAAAAGTTAGCATATGAGAAGTTTTTACAAAGTAGAAGTGATGCAAGGAGGGAAGAGTATATGGAGAAAAAGAGAGAGGTTAAGAGAGTGGTGAAGCAATGTAAAAAGAGAGCAAATGAGAGAGTGGGTGAGATGTTATCAACAAATTTTTTGAAAATAAGAAAAAGTTTTGGAGTGAGATTAACAAGTTAAGAAAGCCTAGAGAACAAATGGATTTGTCAGTTAAAAATAGGAGAGGAGAGTTATTAAATGGAGAGTTAGAGGTATTGGGAAGATGGAGAGAATATTTTGAGGAATTGTTAAATGTTGATGAAGATAGGGAAGCTGTGATTTCGTGTATAGGACAAGGAGGAATAACATCTTGTAGGAGTGAGGAAGCCAGTTGTGAGTGTGGGGAAGTTTGTGAGGCAGTAGGTAAAATGAAGGGGGTAAGGCAGCCGGGATTGATGGGATAAAGATAGAAATGTTAAAAGCAGGTGGGGGTATAGTTTTTGGAGTGGTTGGTGCAATTATTTAATAAATGTATGGAAGAGGGTAAGGTACCTAGGGATTGGCAGAGTGCATGCATAGTTCCTTTGTATAAAGGCAAAGGGGATAAAAGAGAGTGCAAAAATTATAGGGGGATAAGTCTGTTGAGTATACCTGGTAAAGTGTATGGTAGAGTTATAATTGAAAGAATTAAGAGTAAGACGGAGAATAGGATAGCAGATGAGCAAGGAGGCTTTAGGAAAGGTAGGGGGGTGTGTGGACCAGGTGTTTACAGTGAAACATATAAGTGAACAGTATTTAGATAAGGCTAAAGAGGTCTTTTGTGGCATTTATGGATTTGGAAAAGGCGTATGACAGGGTGGATAGGGGGGCAATGTGGCAGATGTTGCAAGTGTATGGTGTAGGAGGTAGGTTACTGAAAGCAGTGAAGAGTTTTTACGAGGATAGTGAGGCTCAAGTTAGAGTATGTAGGAAAGAGGGAAATTTTTTCCCAGTAAAAGTAGGCCTTAGACAAGGATGTGTGATGTCACCATGGTTGTTTAATATATTTTATAGATGGGGTTGTAAGAGAAGTAAAATGCGAGGGTCTTGGCAAGAGGCGTGGAGTTAAAAGATAAAGAATCACACACAAAGTGGGAGTTGTCACAGCTGCTCTTTGCTGATGACACTGTGCTCTTGGGAGATTCTGAAGAGAAGTTGCAGAGATTGGTGGATGAATTTGGTAGGGTGTGCAAAAGAAGAAAATTAAAGGTGAATACAGGAAAGAGTAAGGTTATGAGGATAACAAAAAGATTAGGTGATGAAAGATTGGATATCAGATTGGAGGGAGAGAGTATGGAGGAGGTGAACGTATTCAGATATTTGGGAGTGGACGTGTCAGCGGACAGGTCTATGAAAGATGAGGTGAATCATAGAATTGATGAGGGAAAAAGAGTGAGTGGTGCACTTAGGAGTCTGTGGAGACAAAGAACTTTGTCCTTGGAGGCAAAGAGGGGAATGTATGAGAGTATAGTTTTAACCAACGCTCTTATATGGGTGTGAAGCGTGGGTGATGAATGTTGTAGCGAGGAGAAGGCTGGAGGCAGTGGAGATGTCATGTCTGAGGGCAATGTGTGGTGTGAATATAATGCAGAGAATTCGTAGTTTGGAAGTTAGGAGGAGGTTTCGGGATTACCAAAACTGTTGTCCAGAGGGCTGAGGAAGGGTTGTTGAGGTGGTTCGGACATGTAGAGAAAATGGAGCTAAAACAGAATGACTTCAAGAGTGTATCAGTCTGTAGTGGAAGGAAGGGCGGGTAAGGGTCGGCCTAGGAAAGGTTGGAGGGAGGGGTAAAGGAGGTTTTGTGTGCGAGGGCTTGGGCTTCCAGCAGGCATGCGTGAGCGTGTTTGATAGGAGTGAATGGAGACAAATGGTTTTTAATACTTGACGTGCTGTTGGAGTGTGAGCAAAGTAACATTTATGAAGGGATTCAGGGAAACCGGCAGGCCGGACTTGAGTCCTGGAGATGGGAAGTACAGTGCCTGCACTCTGAAGGAGGGGTGTTAATGTTGCAGTTTAAAAACTGTAGTGTAAAGCACCCTTCTGGCAAGACAGTGATGGAGTGAATGATGGTGAAAGTTTTTCTTTTTTCGGGCCACCCTGCCTTGGTGGGAATCGGCCAGTGTGATAATAAAAAAAAAATAATAATACGTAAAACAAAAGTATGAAATTTAATGGAAAACTGATGAAATTGTCCTTTCACAAATTTTGCCCTGTCAGCCGTGAAACACTTCATAAATCCACAGCAGAATTTACAAGTCACTAACACTCGAGCAAAGGTATCCAAAATTACAATAGGTTTGAGAGTTATGCTGACTAACTTTAACAAAACGTCTGCAATGCCTAAGCTTGATCAAAAGTTTGTTGGTCCTTATCAAGTAGTTGAACATATCACTGGCAATAAGTATAAGGTTAGAGAAATTAGTACTGGTCAGTATAAAGAATCGCATTTAGATCATATGAAGTTAATATGTGATGATAATGATGTTCCAACTCAGACTAATGTGACAGACTGACAATCCTCCTGATCCTGTACCCTCTACCTCTAATACTCAGTCAGACGATCAACCTGAATGTGGTTATTCCATACGTACACGACAGGAACCGAGAAATCCACAAGTATCATTTGTAACTACCAATTCAGAGCTGCCTCAAATATGGCATGAGTTAGCCAGTGCAACAGAGTTTGATCCTCCCAGAGATAACACCCATTCTGTATATGTCAATCTCACCCTAGTAGAGTTGGGGTTAAATGTAAATAACCTCTATAGATGAATAATATAGTTACATTGTATTTCTACTGTCTGCTACAATATCAACTTATTAATATTCAAGAATTTTTTTTTTTGTATTCACGTTCTCTGAATTCTTAGATTTAACAGTCTAGATTTGAGTGCACCAAGTCTGCCTTTCTGTTAAACACTTCTTTCTTTGTATATATTCCTTCCTCAGAATCCGTAGATCGCATGAATACAGATCGATCGATCAATTTTTTTTTTATCACTTCTATTGTGTAATCCCAATGTTGAGTCTCATTCTATGAGTTGTGCTATATCATACCTTGTAATGCATGACAGTAAGTTACGTTACCTTCCATTCCAATATTCTCCTTATGTTATAATGTTCAATTGTTGTGTACTTTGACATCGTACAGAATCAGCCCAAGCCATAAGCCTGTCGTCTCTAGTTTGTAGTATTAGCTGTATGTCAGGACGACGTACGTTAGCGTCGCCGAGCTCTCAGTAGTACCATACCAGTAACCAGTTACCAGTGTCAGCAGTGACTCACTACCAACAGTCTGTGTGAATCACTTGTTATTCACTGTCACAGCTGACCTTAGAATGTTTTGAACCCGCTCACCCCTAGGAACCATCTCGCGAGTCGAAAGGATAGGGAGCAGAGAGGCAGGTCAGGCTTGGTGCTTCCTATATATTCCATTTTAATTATACTTCATTATTGCCTATGTAAGTATCCTTACCCAATCCATGTTACCGAACCCAACGGGACAAATAAAGTGATCAAACATCGGTAATATGGCCAATTCCACACAAAATTAAAAAGTGCCAATTTAAAAATAGGGTAAAGAATAAACAATATAGACATTCCTGGCATTAAAACGTTTCCTCTGTTCATAACGTCCCCAGGCCTCTCCTATATGACACTTGCTTTCCATTTTGAATTTTTATTAAAAAATAAAAAAAAAAATTTTACTGTTTTGCAGCCTACTGTACTATTGTAATAATTGTAGAAATGACGTCAGCACATTTGTGAATACACATCAGTCCAACCAGTTGGACGAGTGACAAAATTTGTGTCCTCTGGAATATGGGCAATAATCAAACATTTCTGCTAATTTTAGCTCAATCTCAAACTACTTTCCAAATCTAAAACCAATTAAAATCATTTCTATTTCTGTAATATACCTTCCATTGTATCAAATGATACTAAGAAACCATCTGAAAATACACCGCAGTCGCTGTCTTATTAAACCAAATGCACTGGTTTTTTTTTTCACTATCATGCACTGTGTGGGGCAAGATTTTTGTAATATGGTGCATACTCACTGCATAGACCCATTCTCTCATATCTAGGCCTAAATTTACCCCTCACTACTTGCAAAGAATTAAAAATAGGACAAAGAATTAAAATAGGACTCAAAGTGGGCAGAACTACCAACGTGTAAATTGCACCCACACCACATTTGTGCCTACGTAATTTCACAAGTTTTCTACCAAATTTTGCATTTTTAATGCCATTACTGTTAGAAAAATAATACATTACCATTTCAGAATTCTTTTTAATTACTACACTGTCACAACAGAGAAGGTTAACTAACAACACTGCAATCACAAGAACCACATCCATCCACCTTAGTCCAGCAGAGCTCCATCCCTCTCCACACACCATAACGCACAATGCAGTGCAAGATAAAAATTTATTGTTTTCAACATACTGCGATTCCAATATATTTTTTAATTTATGTGGCATTTTCAGAGGTATCTGGAATTTAACCTTATTTTTCCCACATTCTCTTTGCTTTATTTAATGCTATTTTAAGATTGCACACTTTTGGCAACCCTCTCACTAAGTGAGGACCTGCAGAACATGCACACTACGTTTCTCCTGGTGACTGCATAGTATCAATACAGTGGAATATGCAAATATCAGATTGGTCAACCTGTGTTTTTGCCTACTCCATCCACTCCCAGAGGATAAAAAAAAAAGTCAATTCACTAAAGCATGAACCAACAAGAAATTGCCCATTGTGCCTCAAGTGAATGTCATGATGAGACTTAAGGGCGAAGTTCATGAGGTAAGACACTTTAATAACAGATAACACTTCAATACTAACTTGAATACATAGTTTACATTTTAAATAAAATATAAATAGTAATACAAGTGCTTGTGAGCTACTTGTTACAAACAAAAACAGAACCTATAAAGTACTGAAACTTAAAAATTCACTTACCCCTTGTAGGCCTGAAGGCCCAGGTATTTGGTCAGCACCATAGGAGTCCATCTGATCATGTTCCTCCTTTTCTATTTCACCACCATGACTTTGGTATTCAGAGAAATCATTACTAGTCTCCTCTTCATCCCCATCCATCTCACTGCCATCTTCTCTATCTCCATGAGAATCTTTTGCTCCAGAGTTATCAGCATCATCTACTTCCACCTTAATCATTTGAACTGGTAGGATGGATTGATCAGATGATCTGGGTGATGTTATAGATGGGTGAGAGGACTCTGGTCCACCACTAGGGGGTGACCTAAGGGATGATGTATCCGCAGACGGCCGTAACGAGGATATTTGAGATGTATGTTGCGACTGCGACTGTTGCAGGTGGCTGTCTTGTCTACCACGCCCACTATCTACATGCCGCGTTTCCTGGGATACACTAGGTGGTGGGGGCATAGACTGTGATGGCACATGTGACTCAGGTACACTTGACAGTTGAGAGGGTGCTTGACTAGGCACTGATGATGCAGAAGGGGGGTGGGAGGAAGACTGGGAGGACCCCCGTGAGATGGTGGGTGAAGGGATCCTCCCACGGTCTCCTCCAGAGTCCCGTCTTTTTCGTTTTGCGGGGGGACTGTCCTCCCTTCTCTCAGGTACACTACTAGGCCCTTTTTTCTGGGCTTTGGTTGGATCCTCGTCTGGGACAGCGAGACCTTTAATTCTTAAACACTCGGCAGCTTTAATGAGTCCCGCTAGCTCACTCTGCCTCACATCTACTTCACCTATATACATATAGTCTAACAAGGCCTCTAAATCTGACTTTTTTATGTCTTTGAGCACAACTACTGGATTTTTACAAGGAGTTTTTTCAAAAATTTCTGCAAAGTAATCACTACATGTCGACATCACAAGTTTGTGCACTGGGAAAAACTTTCCTTCGCATGCTAGCGTTGCATCCGTGTACGTATGCTGGAAAGAAATGGAAAAAAAAAGTTAGTTTAAATACAGTCATACAAAATATGTATACAAATTTAAAATAGTTAAGCTCAGGGAACCTCTATGTATTACACAGCCTGCCTTTCAAATGGGACTAGAGTACATACAGCATTGGTCTGTCAGTAATATGTATTCCCTTTGTGGGCCCCTCTGTTACTTTGGTGTCATTTGACTTCGCCCGAACAGCCCGCTTAGGCCGTTGGCCTAAGTCTAGATCAACAGTGGGCAAACTGCAGTTCCCAAAGCTACTGTGTGTGGCTGCAAAGACAATACAGTGGACCCCCGGTTATCGGCTGGTTTGGTTATCGGCCAACTCGGTTATTGGCCGTTCGCTCAGTTATCAGCGTTTTTGGACGCATCCATCCGCCGGCTGGGGCAGCTTGCACTTCAGTTTGGCTTTCTCTCTTGGTGGCTGAGGAGGCTTCTGCTCATACATCCAAACATTTCACTTGTTTACCATTGTTTTTAGTGGTTTTTCTTGAAGTGCAACTGTGAAATAAGTAACCATGGCTCCAAAGAAAGTTCCTAGTAAAGTTCCTGTGGTAAAGTGAGAAACACCATGGAATTTCAGCATGAAGTGATCAAAAAGTTTGAGAGTGGTATGAAGGTGATGGAACTTGCCAGGATGTACAGCAAGAATAAATCGACAATTACATCCATCGTCGCAAAGAAAGAACAAAAAGATGCTAATGTTGCAAAAGGAGTAGCTTTTCTAACTAAACAAAGGACACCAATAATGGAAGATATGGAAAAGTTATTATTGTGGATTAAGGAAAAAAGAATTAGTGGGAGACAGTCTAGTCGAGTCTACTATTTGTGAGAAGGCATGAGGATCTTGCAAAGAAAATGCCTAGAACAAGTGCTGCAGTTTGTGAATTTAGGGCCAGCAAAGGATGGTTTGATAGAGTTAAGAAGCATAGTGGCATACACAGTGTTGTAAGGCATGTTGAGGCTGCAAGTTCTGACAAATGTGCAGCTAAACAGTATGTTTACGAATTCCAGGACTATGTAAAGGCTGAAGGATTCGAACCCCAACACGTTTTCAATTGTGACGAAACAGGCCTGTTTTGGAAGAAAATGCCAAAGAGGACCTACATTACCCAAGAGGAAAAGACACTGCCAGGACACAAGCCTATGAAAGACAGGCTTACTCTATTGCTGTGTGGTAATGCTAGTGGGGATTTCAAAGCAAAGCCTTTACTTGTCTATCACTCAGAAAATCCCAGTGTATTTAAGAAAAACAATGTCATGAAGAATAGATTGTGTGTGATGTGGAAAACTAATCATAAGGCTTGGGTCACAAGACAAATTTTCAAAGAGTGAGTTAATGATGTGTTTGGCCCAAGTGTGAAAAAATACCTCCTGGAAAAGAAACTGCCACTCAAGTGCCTCCTGTTACTGGACAATGCTCCTGCACATCCTCCAGACTTGGAAGACCAAGTGTTTAGGGACTTCAGTTTTATAAAAGTGAAGTTCTAACCTCCTAACACCACTCCTCTCCTCCAGCCCATGGACCAGCAGGTCATTTCTAACTTCAAAAAACTTTACACAAAAGCAGTGTTTCAAAAGTGCTTTGAAGTGACCTCGGACACTCTGTTGACCCTAAGACAGTTCTGGAGGAATCACTTCACTATACTCCATTGCATAAGCCTTATAGGTAAGGCTTGGGAGGGAGTGACTTCCAGGACTTTGAACTCTGCTTGGAGAAAACTGTGGCCAGATTGTGTCCAAGAGAGGGATTTTGAAGGATTTGAGACTCACCGTGACCCTGACCCTGCCGACCCAGTGGACTCTATTGTGTCTTTGGGGAAGTTCCTGGGGTTGGAGGCGAGTGGTGAGGATGTGGAAGAGTTGGTGGAGGACCACAGGGAAGAGTTTACCACTGAAGAGCTGCAAGAGCTTCAACTTGAACAGCAACAAACTGCAGCTGAAGAAGTTGCTTCAGAGGAGGAGGAGGAAGAAGAGGGAGTGAAGGAGGTGCCTTCTTCAGAGATTAAAGAGGTTTGTGCAATGTGGACTAGGGTGCAAGCTTTTGTAGAGAAACACCACCCTGACAAAGCTGAAACAAGCCATATCTGCAACATGTTTTGTAACATAACCCTGTCCCACTTCAGGGAAATCTTAAAGAAACTCCCGAAACAGAGCACTCTGGACAGTTATTTTGTGAGACAGGGGTCCAGTGACTCTCAAGCTGGTTCTAGTGGCATTAAAAGACAGAGAAGGGAAGTAACCCCAGAGAAGGCATTACTACCTAGTCTTCATGGAGGGGGATTCCCCTTCTAAACAATAACTCCTTCCTCTTTCCTCCTCCCTAACTTCCAGAAGCCAGCATTAGCCTTCAATAAAGGTATGTAATACTTACATAATTGTAAAAAAAAATTTTTTTTGTGAATATTTTTGTTGGGAATGAATTAATTTTTTTTTATTTATTTTTATTTATTATCACACTGGCCGATTCCCACCAAGGCAGGGTGGCCCGAAAAAGAAAAACTTTCACCATCATTCGCTCCATCACTGTCTTGCCAGAAGGGTGCTTTACACTACAGTTTTTAAACTGCAACATTAACACCCCTCCTTCAGAGTGCAGGCACTGTACTTCCCATCTCCAGGACTCAAGTCCGGCCTGCCGGTTTCCCTGAATCCCTTCATAAATGTTACTTTGCTCACACTCCAACAGCACGTCAAGTATTAAAAACCATTTGTCTTTCATTAATCTCTCATGGGAAAATAAATTAAGTTATCGGCCATTTCGGTTATCAGACGACTTCAGGACACTGATTCGGCAATAACCGGGGGTCCATCTGTATTGGTTTTCAATGCCATTTTTCATAAATCTTGTATTAGTAGATTAGTAATATAGGTACCACTATTAGAATATTTTTGTACACTTATATGTGGTAATTAATTATACCTTTCAAACATTCATATGTCATTAGGTATGTCACTATGCCGTTTAAACTCACTGAACATAATCAATACTTTTTAAACAAGTAATGATGATGCAACTGGACAATGCGCCATCACTCTTTAAGCAGTAAACACATTACACGCCTGGGGCAGCAATGGAACATAACTTGTGCCATGTGAAACAGAAACCTGTAACTGTTTTGCATGATGGTAGGATTGCTGGTTTTCTTTTTCTGACTCATAAACACGCTAGATAACAGGGATATCTTGCTAATCCTACTTACACTTTGGTCACACTTCACAGACACGCACATCCATATATATATACATACATCTAGGTTTTTCTCCTTTTTCTAAATAGCTCTTGTTCTTCTTTATTTCTTCTATTGTCCATGGGGAAGTGGAAAAGAATCTTTCCTCCGTAAGCCATGCGTGTCGTATGAGGCGACTAAAATGCCGGGAGCGATGGGCTAGTAACCCCTTCTCCCGTAGACATTTACTAAAAAAGAGAAGTACTTTACTGATTAATTAATAAATATTTAAGACTGATTTTAAAGTTACAGAACCCTTGTTTAAAATGACTGAGCAACAGAAGAGTATGAAACAGAATACAAAAAAAAAGTGTGTTTAACCAATAATGGGAGGACGATTTTGCTTTTACTGTCAAGGATGAAAAGACTCTGTGACCTATGTGTCGTACAATCATCAGCCACTTGAAGCATCGTCATCAATGTAACCATAAAAATTTGCATCTGAATTTCCTCCTGAATCAAAACCGCAAAGAAAAAAATTAAGATAAAATTTTCGAAATTAATTTAGTCACTCAACAAAATAGCCCATTTTCCTTCTGTAAGCAAAGTGATTTGGGTACTGAAGCTAGTTTTCTGATGGCTTGGAATACTGCCTTACAATCAAGTTTTCAACAAGCAGAGATTAAATATTCTGCTTTGGTTAGAACTACTATGTAGTTTTATTTTTTATAAATACAATTTTAAAGTAATATTTTCTGTGGGTCTTGAACATTCAAAAATGTATGAAAAGTATATGTGGCTCTTCTTATCTAAGAACCCTTGGTCCAGATCATGGCAGGTGTTGACAGCAGACGTACACTAGGCCAAGCTCCTTCCTGTTCCAATACACCATAACAGACCACCTATAAAGTGTGATTGGCTACCTCACTATTCACCCTAAGAATGGACCCTGACAAATGGTAGCACATAGGGAGTACATAATACTGACAGGATATTCAACACTTCGTTGCTGAATAAAAGTACAACCAAGTAAATCACATGTTACCTCCATGATGTCAAAGTGCAGCGGTTAACCCTTTCAGAGTTTCAGCTGTACTAGTACGGTTTACGCCCCAGGGTTTTTGGTGTACTAGTACCCCTAAATTCTAGTGCCCTCAAATCTAGTGAGAGAAAGCTGGTAGGCCTACATATGAAAGAATGGGTCTATGTGGTCAGTGTGTGCAGTATACGAAAAAAATCCTGCAGCACACAGTAATGAGAAAAAAAAAAACTTTGACCATGTTTTTGGAATAACCCTTTGAGGGTTTCGGCCGTACTAGTACGGCTTACGACCCAGGGTTTTTGACGTACTAGTACGCCTAAATTCTAGTGTCCTCAAATCTAGTGGGAGAAAGCTGGTAGGCCTACGTATGAAAGAATGGGTCTATGTGGTCAGTGTGCACAGTATAAAAAAATCCTGCAGCACACAGTGCATGAGAAAAAAAAAAACTGACCGTTTTTTTGGAATAAAACAGCGACTTTGCATTGTATTTTTGTATGGTATTTATTGTTGTATTCAAGTTTTCTTGGTCTCATTTTATAGAATGGAAGACATATTACAGAAATTGAGATGATTTTGACTGGTTTTACAATGAAAAGTACCTTGAAATTGAGCTCAAAGTAGCAGAAATGTTCAATTTTTACCAAGTTCAAAAGTAAACAAATCATGCCAAGCGTCCAATACACGTCAACTGGAGAGTCTAATATTCTTTTGCAAGTGCGCCAATATTATTTATACCATTTTTTACACTAATGCAGTAGTCTGCATAACAGTAA